ATCTGTGTTTGCTACTCCAAAAGCCATTAAAATGCGGTTACTAGTGGAATTCAATTAGTTTTCTGTCATCGTATTTCATTGTCACTGGCATTTCACAAATAAGTTACTCACCAGTTTTTGAAAAAGAATATTTAGTAATTTTCAAATCAAGTCACTACGGACTCCTAAAAACTTCAAATTCGTTTGCTAGCTTTTTTTTTGAATGGCTTATTACTGAAATTGACAAGGTGTACTGTCATTGGAGTCGTTCTTTACGTTTATCAACTTTATATGAAATCATTCCTCATGTACAGTATACTATCAGAATCCGGAACGGAGGAAGCAATGAATTCGTTTTGGGAACCTCTGCTAATGGGCAAGTAGGCAAGCTGACGGTCATTCTCTATAAGTACGTGAATTGAAATCTGATCGGTCTAGAGCGGCAACGCTCGTACGAATTAACACCACACTAGAATAACGAGAATCTCGAATCTGTTGACGCAAGCAGAATACTCACAGATGGGACCGAATGTTATTACTGGGCGATTTTTAGGGATTTAGAATTCAAATCCACCTCAATTCGTCCGCTACAACTAGAGCTCTTTATGTTTTTCAGTTCCTGTGATTGTGAAAGAACCTTGTCGTCCTGTTTTGACACCTGTTGGTATACATTTGCTTTTTAGTTTATCTTTCAAGACCATTACGGAAAATTCTTTCCTTTTTCGAATTCCCAATAGTCGCTGTTTTTTCGCTGGTGATTCTTTTTTGAACCACTTTCTTGTTCCAGCATATTTACAGAAATCGCTCATAATAGGATATTTTTGGTTGTAAAGGACAAAAAAACAATCTGTTAGCAATTGAAAAGTGGGAAACAAAAAGGAGATGGAATAAAAGTACCAGTTGAGGGACAAATTATTATCAGCAGGCAATCATTATTACCAGCAGCCTTTTTGTATAAAAGGGCATGGCCGTGTGAGGTTGTCTCATTCGAGGCGTGCTCCACTGAAGAGGATCCGTCCCAGTACTACGACGATGACACTATATGGTGAATGGGAACGACTGTGGACCAACGACTTGGATCACTGGCCTTGAAGATTGACGAAGACGTCTAAACGTTAGCTAAATAAACATTTTTATCAATCTCATGTTAGCTTAGAAGTCCAAGAAGGCATAACAGCGATTATTTCGCGAAATTTTTTAATGTTCACTGAGGACGGTTTAGTATCCGCGATGTCCTTGCAGCTATTCTGAAGTGGTTTTTTATGTTATTTTGTGTTTACAGTCGTTTTTAATGATGATCACAAATGTAATTTCAAAATTTATCCTACGATTTATACACCGTACAGATGGACACCGTTAAAAAGTGCTTTGTAGAAAAATTTAGAAATGGCTTTGATTCTTGCTTTCTTCCAACCAGACAATAATACCAATAAATTCTTGCAGCTTTTTTCACTTTCATAATAAACTTTTGGCGGTTCACTCATGTTAATTTGATTTTTAATACTCAATAAAGTGCCGTAGATGCTTTTAATCAAATTTACCTGGTGAGTTTTTTTACCGGCTTAATATTATTGGAAGTTTGTTTTTATTGGTTGTTGCTTACCTCGGTTTCTATCTGAACCACGTGTCAAACTCCCACCACTACCGACACGACCACCACATACCTTGTGTAGAGCTTCTGCCGTTAGATAGATTTGGCAAGCAGAAGTAAAACGAAAAGGAAAGGTACAGTGAAGCCACACTCTTTGAGTTGAACTTATACCTTTATATGGCAATATAACGGCGGAATTGGGACATAATGTTTTTGATTCGCAATAGGTGGTGTGCCACTAATATGAACGCAACAGGAAGTCCACGTTATCAAAAAACCTTGACCTTTACACTTGATAGCCTGAAACACTTGTGACCTAAACTAATGAGTAAATCGGAAGCACTCTAGTAATGCCTCCACTGGCATCTGTCACTTGCCAGGATTTGTACACCAATTCGTTATGTTCGAGTGAAGGACAAGAATCGTGTTACCTTTTGCAAATTTCATGGAATTTATTTTTTAACGCTTTTGCCTTGCGATTTCTGTGAGGAATCATTTTTCGCACCACTTTCTCCGATCTTCCACATTCTAAATCAGTTGAGAGTCCGCATCGCTTTTCTCATGTACAAGAAAAGGGATAATGTTAGCAATGTTAGCACCATTCTGTTGACCCACCCGGCTGCTCGTTCCATGACCGTGCCTGTGTTTTCGTCTTATTTATGTAAAGTTCTGGTGTCCGAGTTCCATTTTAAGGAAGAAGCGAACTGAAATGGCATACGTTGGCGCTGACCTGGGGATTTCGACGTTTTGCGGTTTTCTCCATTAGCTTCCACTTTTTCTGTTTAACCTGTAGGGTTAAGTTATTTGATATGTTAACTTCGCCACACAAAAACGCATAACTGTAGAATTCATAGATAAGTTCAACTGGGCGTGAATGAGCCACCAGGAACGGATCATTTTCTATGAACACTGTTAAGCTGTTAATGTTCAACCAAAGATTGATTCTTTGTACATGCGCCATAGAAATCGACTTGCATTTGCTATGTTTGGTTAGAACTTGACGTTAGAAAGGCAACGTCATTAATGACGCAAAGACGGTGCAGCGGCTAGCCAACGACTTTCAGTGCGTTGTCATTCCTTTCCAGTTCTCGTATGACGTTCTCTAGAGTGTTGTAAAGTAGTTTTAATAGCAGAGTATAGCCAAATCGTATCCCTAAGTCGTCATGGTTTTGCAAGCAAACAGCTGTTGGATTGAGCGCCATGAATATGTTTAATATGCTTTCCTTCTTAAACAACGATACGGTCTTACTAATTTTTCTCGGGGTTCTTACTCTTTCATATACGGTCTAATTCTTACTCTTTCAAGTAACCTGCATTCGTAAAGGCACTATGTACATAAACGTGGGTTAGGAGGCCGAAGGAAATATTTCAAATGTTCGCTTTGGAGCATATCAGATTTTCTTTGCTCAATGAGTTAAGGATGTTCAATAGAGGAGCCACTGGTCTGCGCGTGGCCGTAGTGTTGTTATTAACATCTTACCGACGTCACAGCGGATATTGTGAGCACCTATTCTACGAGTTTAGCGGTAGGTAGCCGCTACTACTTTTCATCATCTAATATCTTATCTTTCTCTCCCTATCTTTTTGTCTCTTTGTTGCAGAACTTTATAATTTTAAATAGGAACTGCCTGCTATTGGTTGAGTTCCTTGCTTGCATTCGAATCTCTGAGATTCTGAACATCTATCTCACTGCGACTTTCGAACCTCCAAATTTCCTAGCATCATGTGAATGTGTTGAATAAGGCGAATATCTTGTTAAAAGCTTGTTTAAGACATTTAAAAAATCACACATTTAATAGCGGAAGCAAACGGTTCCTATTGGCATCGATAACTTAAGAGTATTTTTCGTGAACATGATCGTTTTCGCTCTTCTGTGCTGGAAAACGAATTTTACGCGAAGGAAGCGTTTATCCAATTTTGCGCTTGGGCAAAATCCTAGCGGTTCGATATCGTATAATTGTGAAATCCTACTTCGGACATCAAGAGGAGTAATTCTAGGTATCTATAGACGTTATAATTGCTGGTTTTCCTTCTCGCGATGTGCTTAGATAGGCAGTTTTAGCGCACTGATCAAAGCTGTCCTTCGATACACACTGGATTCGTCGCTGGTTCGATCCCGCGCTCCGGGCACGGAGGACTGGTACCATGCTCAACTGGGAAAACGAAAACACTGTCTTATGTAGGAGATAACAGAGCACTGACTTCATACATCGGTGGGCCATCACAAGTCACGAGTTAAGTTACTGTATTGGTCAAATATGTATTGAACTACTCTGCGATACTCCATGGAATTGAATGCATGGTACATCCCTCTACGACTGATGAATGCCGAAGTCTTTGTCTTTTTCATTTAAATCGGTAGATTTGGAATCATAGTTTTTCAGAACTAGAACTACCTTTAGCACTTATTTCATTAACGGCGGTTTTGTAAAAAAAAAGTAGCCGTGCCGAAACGTTCCAATTTCGGCTTCACAAGCAGTGGCCAGCAAAGAATCAAACAAAGGTGTTCAGCCTTGCGACTAAGTTTCTTTAACAATGGAGGCGATATTCGACGCAGATGTACTATTAGCCAAGTTTAGTGAAAACTTCCAAACTTCAAACGCCTTACCCACGTTGACCCGCCCAGGAAGTCGAATTCGTTGCTGTTTATTGCAATTATACACATAGGAGCTGCTTGCTGTCATGGAGAAGGAATGATCATCAAGGGATAACTTAGTTTAGAATATCCTTTATATCCTTTTTAAGTATTGATAAGTCTGAGTATGCAGTGAGGTTTCATCAGCTGTCAAGTCATTACTGAGTTTTCAGTTATCGAGTTCGCAAACTGCTTGTTTCCTACAGCTATTCATGACTCACTTATCATTTCACGTTTCTAACCTTTCAGAAAATGTGATCGCGCTCTTAATACTATAAAGAAATAGAAATTTAGGTGAGCACAGGGGTAAAATAACAAAAAGAGGAAAAATAAAATTTAAAAAAGAGGGAAAAAAGAAAGTTAATAAAGGAGTTTTTTAAAAATGCCATTCTCGGTAAGTGAAACCTCTTCCCCATCAGCAGAGCAGCTATTATTCTTACGTAAGTAAGAAATAGATGTATTTGATAATTTCATTTTTCCAATTTTTGTTTCGAACAACTCATTTTCAAGTGGAAAGATCTCATTACGTTGTCTTGTGGTGGCAATCATTTGCGAGAAGCTTTGGAAGTCTTAGTGAAACACTAAACGAAAATGATATTGTAGTGGTGGTCAATTAACTAACGTCAACCTCTAACGAACTCTCCGGGGAGTTGAACATCAACAGCATACGCTGCAGATGAAACCATCAGCAAACTAGCCGCAACAGTAGTCTTGCATAGGGAGAAACGAAATGGTCAAACTGCATTTGATTATCACAATGATGGTTTAATACCTATTTTGTATTATTTTCGGTGCTTGGTACTTTTCATTCGTCATGAAAGCGAGCTACTGTTGTTTTACCGCCTGCTGGAAGTGGTTTTGCTAGCCATAAAAGGTAGGACGATCTTTGTGTCCATTGCGAAAGCGGCGCCGACTGAGCAGCTCTAGAGTAGGGCACGAAAAAAACCACCAAATTTTGCTGCAGCTCTCCCAAAGTACACGACGATTAGCAGTGTTATAGATTCCAGATGATGGAAAGCACTATCGAAGGTGTTGAAGAAGTAGACTTCAGCAATAAACGTTGTTGTAATGAAATTATAGCGTTGGTGGATGGCTGCAATGCCTTTCCTCCAATGACCGGATCCAGTCAGCTTCCATTTCTATCATCTATACCTTCTTCTGTTTTTTATCACGTCTTCTTATATCATGAAATGATTGGTTATACTTCCGTGACTTCACTGAGCATCCGCAGCTGGTCGGAGAGACACAATTTGACACTGTTCGGGTGTCTCGGCTGTGTAATCCTCTGTGCCATTAGTGCTAGCTATACATCAGACGACTTTTCTTGTTAAGGTGTTTAGGCTTTTCAACATAGCCAAAGAGTTTTCACACAATGCAGTATGACATATTTTAATATTAGCCATAAATAAAAATGTTTTCAAAAGGCGAAGAACAGTTTGATGTTAATGTATATAAATCGTCTTCTCGAGATCATCATATATTTCCTGAAAACATGCTTAGGTAAAATCTACATTTTCACCATTGCCACTGAAATCTAAATACCATAAATAATATTTTAGAAACTCTTTGAAACGGCAGTAAAAAAAATTTGTTGCAAAAACTACAGTCTGCTTTTCCACTGGTTCAAGCATTTCTTCACAACCACTCTTGTATTTCAGTGTGCCTGGTGTGTCTCGAAGGGTCGGACTGTGAAAAAGAGGCGAGTTGTGACGAATGCTCTGGGGTGGCATGCACTCGTATTACATCCTTCAACTTGGAGGACAATCGAGAAGTGGCGCTTACTTGTATACCATACGATACCAGGTCTGCGCTTAAAGGGCTTTATAACACCACTAACAGCTTCTTCAGTTTCATTCTTGAGGAAAATCGAAGCGGCGCCACGATTCTCAAGAAACTACTGGAGCATGCATTTAGTTCATTTATTGTGTTTGTTAGAACTACCTCTAACCGTAATTAAGGGTCTCCACTTTTTAAGTCTATTCATCATGTCTATCTTATATCTTTGTTAACTGTTTGTGTAACGCAGTAGTTAGGGAGTCCTTCAAAGCGGAAGATTGTGGGTTTGATTCAACGCGCCGCGCTATTCCAGCCTGCCACTTCTCCTGTATTGGTAAATTGCTACCAGACTTCCCCAAGAGAACAAAAATACTTTTTTCATACATCAATGTACATCTGCAAATCAATCCTTGGGTCAAATATGCATTCATTCACTTGTACGATGCCTGTTGGAGTTGAATGTGTCGTGTATCCCTAGGAACTTTTTCAACGCTGAATGCTTTAACCTTTCAAAGAATTGATATCATTGTCGGCCTTAATTTGACGACTCAATGCTGCAATATTTTGTACCGCTTGTAAACTTGTTTTTGTTCCTCACTAATAACTGGACAGTGCACCATTAATGACTCCATTAGTGCCCTGTTTAATATAAGAGCTACTCAGCAAACTCTGGTTCTCGCAGTACACTAAAAGCTTTACACTTTTCGCATGAAGTCTTTTTCGCTAGGAAAATACACCAGGGCAGCTTGCCATGCGCTGTCAAATAAGGCACGGAACTTTCGCTGGGGGTGGCCCCGAGCTGGTGTTAATGCGGGATGCGATCTGCATACGCGTAGGCTGAGAAGGGTAACTCATTTCCTGCACTCACTATCAGCGACCTGAGTAGATGCTACGTCGCTTCCTCACTTGAGATCCATAGTATGAGAGAGATCTTTTGATGATGATATAATTGGGATGGATAATTACTGTATGATGTCGACAAATAAAGCAGTCACTCACATTTTTGGTTCCGCTTCATGTTTCGTTTCTAATAACCAATCTCTTTTTATCAGGAGTAGAATTCGAATTGGAAATCATGTTGTTCATCTTATATTTTTAGACAGATTTTATCCACTTAATATCTATCCTAAGTGACTTTATATATGAATTCGTCGTTTTCTCTCTAAGCAATCGAGAGGTTGTTCCTAGAACGTCTACGTAACGCGTCTCCTAATAACGCGTACGTGATGGAGTCCTTCGACGTTACCGCGCTGTACACCAACGTATCGAATGACTCCGCAATGCAAGCCATCTTCGAAATTCTTGTTGAACATGAAGGAAGAATAAATATGCATGGCTTGTCCATCCAGCAGCTAATGGCTCTCTTAAAGGAGTGCCTAAACTGCTCGATTTTCAGCTAGTCTGAGAAATATTTCGCCCAAATAAGAGGGTTGTCAATGGGACAGCGTCTGGCACCACGCCTTGCCATTGTGTTTTGTCTAAGATAGAAGCCCCTGTTCTCGGTCTCCGTCCACTATTCTACTGCATACATGTAGATGACTGTTTTGTCGTCTTCTCTACGCAGGAAGAGATGGACAAATGCTTTGAACTATTGGATGAACAGTCTGAGTTCAACCGGGAGAAACCGAACAAAAACTGGCTTCTGTTTCTAAGCGTTCAAATATACCTTTCAAGTAGCGGTTACATGACAAAGTGGTACCGAAAGCCAAGTAACAAGTACATCCTCGTTCATTTCCTTTCTTCCCACCCTTCACACACAAAGAGGGCGCTTGTGAGAAACATGTTTCGAGCAGTCACCTCTGTGTGCACAACCAGAGAGCTAAAGAAAGAATTGGGCAACTTGGCTCGGCAAATAGCCATCTCCAGTGGCTACGAAATAGTTACCGCACGAGATGAGTTTAAAAGGAAAGCGACGCGCCCAAGCGAAACATTGGCCAAAAGAAAGTACCGCTTATATTGCCCTTTATTAGTGATAAAGTAGGCGTAGCTATTAAACGATGCTTAAGATGGGCAGGTCTAGAGGAATCGGTGGCGATGGTTGAGATACCACCGGATACTCTACGTCGTCAGTTAGTTCCTAACCGCCTGTATGACCGTCTATGTGAAACACGAAATTGCGTAATTTGCCCTTACGGCAGGGACGGTGATTGCATGAGTTCAGGTACGATATACCTGATCTCTTGTAACAATTGCGGAGATGAATATATTGGCGAAACGGGCAGACCTTTGTGTATCCGTATAAAAGAACACCTAGATGGCCAACGAAAATCAAAACAAGGCACGCCACTAGGCACGCATAGGGTACAAAAACAGCGGGGACGATTTTGATATGCAAGCCGCTATTCTCGCACAGAAGACTAAAACACCAACGCACAAATTTTTCGAAGCTTTTTGGATAAATTCCAAAAATCCGAGAATGAATAGCAGGAAAGAGTGTCCTGAGATAACGCGTGATCTATACCCGTATCTCAGAACTGATTTTTGGTGTGGGTTGGTGCAGCAATCAACCATATGCGACTCTAAGCGGCTGTTCTTCCGTGGTGGAAAACAGATAAAGGCGGTGGCTTTTTCGAGAAGCCGGTGATCGTGTAATTATTGTTCAGATTTTCAACTTTCTGTTTGCGTTGTTGAAGTGTTTGACATAGTAAGTTGCGTATTAGTGTACCCTTCCGTGCTCTGAAGAAGGTGATTCTGCCGAAACGTCAGCTACGATTGTGTTGTGTATATGTTATTCTATGGAAGTAAACGTATGCTGATTGATCGCACAATTTAACAACTTCGCGTTTGCTGAGAGAGAAAACGACGAATCCATAATCCAATGCCGAGGTTAATAGAAAGTCGATCCTGGGTTACTATAACTTTATATAATTAGTAACTCCATGCCAAATCGGAATCATTACAAAAAGGGAGATTTTCATTTATGAGACGTCTTAGAACCTTCAAATGCAATACAGTTTTTGCAACCTTGGTTTCTATATGGAGTTCGTTAACAAATCGTGCCTAGAAATGAGCACAGTTCTCTATATAATCGGTACTACGATAGTTCGGAAAGAATTTTTCCTCTTCAGTTGCAATCTGATTAGTGACAGGCGATTACCAGGTCTTCAAACCAGGAAGTCTGCAACGCTTTTAGATTGAACGGAGATTGGCACCCTTTTCAAGAGGTTTCTGTGAGCAAGGTTAATTATAGCCTTTATTCATGGCATCACAGTAATTTGTACTTCCACTAGAAATGCTGAGTAACCTTGTTGGAGATCAGTCTTCACATGTGCTTTATCATATCCAGAAATAACCACTTGTAATATTTAGAGATGTTCATCGTTTTGTGACTGAATCGAAAATAACACGTAAAATTAAACTAGCCAACATTGGCTATGTCAAGTAAATTATCAAGAAAAGGAAGAATTAACTCGCGATTCAGTCTATTCGTTCTTTAACTCTTTTTGTCGCTATTCCAATTTAAATGCGTTATTATTGATGATATTTTATGGGAGCCGTCTTTTATTTTCTTAATAAGACTCCCACCGTTTTACTTCATCATTGTGGTTAAGAGGTGTTCTTGAGTGTCGGGCTGCGATCTACAGCGGGGATTCATCCCTCAGTAGAGTCTCCCTGGCTAGGAAGACGTCCACGCTTTTATCCTGAAGTCCAGCTAAGAGTAAAATAATACCAGGTATCACCACCGGTATGCTAACAAACTAGTCGCATGGTGGTAAATCCTTCTCTGATCCACAAGGGATGCGACAGCGTGGGGTGGTGACGACCTGAGGAAAACTTCGGCTAGGCTAACCTCGGGACTGCAGGAAACCACAATGTTTAAAGCAGCAAGTCTCTGGAGAATGGAAATTATGCTCGCGCCTGTACTATCAGTGAAGACGAGCCATTCAAGTATCCAACTAATAGGACCGTTTCGTAGTCTAATATTAGAGCGGCCTGTGTTTCGCTGAACTCACAGCTGCTTGAGAGATTTGGGAAATGTTATGGGTAATGAGAACGCTCATATCGAGTTAATAACAGATTTGGGATTGAGGTGTGTATTTAAAACCACTGGTAGCTGGTAAGACATAGCGGTTAACGATGCTGTGCCGTATTCACACGGTGATTGGTTCGACACTGTACCGTACCAACTAAACGGCCGGTTTCTCCGGATCCGCAAAGTGATACTAGACCTTTCTGGGAGAAATGCCCTCCAACCGACATTGTTTGGTGGCTGTGGCTAAGAACTGCGACCGTTCTAGAAGACTATCCCAGGATTCCAGAGAGAAGGAGCTCTATCGTGATTCAGTAACATTCATGAAGTATATAGAAGATAGAATAGTATCCTCAAGTGACAACCAAACTCACGTGGCAATCATGAGACCTTCACTGATGAGAAGACAACAGAACTAGTGACAGAAGTGCTAGGATTCTCACGACATGTGTAGACGGGTTACATCATTAAGAAGATAAAGTCATGTTAGGAACCACTTAACGTATCATTATCGGTCAATAAACCAAATGCTTTTATAAGATTATGCTTAAGGACATTCACACGTGCTCATCTGGAGGAATCCGGCTGTCGTCGTGTCGTCGATCGGGAGATTTGCGTTTGCTACTCAGGCGACTACTGTAATTCTGCTAGTTCGTCGATTCCTTTCACGTTAGGAGTTTTGTTATTGAGTCTTTTATTCATATGAATATTTTTTAGTCGAATGAATATGTAAACTTCGCACCAACTCATTCCACAGTTAACAATATTGCCCAGCTTAGTGAAGATCTGTCTAAAATGTATTCAATTTAGAATAACCGTATAATGTACGTCGTTAAGTGTTTTCAAAGGTATTGGTCACCGTTCTATGAGTACGGCGATTATCTGCCTAAGTAAATTAACATATGAACGTAGGACACAATTTTTCTTACAACCCACTATCGTCAATGAAAGAAAATACGATCATTGTCGTACACCAAATTGTTTCTATCCCAGATTTCATCCTAGGGTCCTCGTAGCAAAGATGTTTTTTGCTACTTTCTTTTCCTGGAATAAATGTTGTTCCAGTTTCTTTTTCTCTCTCTTCAGTTTCTCGTTGTTCTACAGTATAGTGTGAAGGCATTTCTGGATGTGGAACTCCAATATACAGTAGTTATCGGCCTATAACGATGTTCTACAGTTCTACTCAAGAATCTGATTAAGAATAGACTTTCATCACGAATCACGGCGGTAGGAGACCTAATTTTCAGGATAGAAGAATCTCTTTGGACAACAAAAGTCGACAACAAATTGTGGTGCTTGCTGCAAAAATAGCGGCCCATTCTAAATAGCAACATCGAAATCTTTGTCAGGATAAAAACTATTAGAACCTATACATTTTCTCAGAGATGGTGAAAGCTTTAATTCTTCCGTGCGTGCCCCATAATTCTGGTCTTGGAAGCGCCGAATTATTCGAAGAAATTTTCGAAAACCAAGTGGTTATTGAAAATTCTCACAACCGGCGGTTTGTTGGCTTAGAGTTCAGAAGTGCTAATCGATCAATGACAGTTTCGATGAGTACCCTGGTTAAGACATAGCTTTGTAGCCCAACTAGTTCAATTACTACTGCATTAGTTCTACAACGTGAAGGCCACGGCTGCCTTACAACAGAATTGGTCATTTTCTTTTAACCAGTATTAGCTAAATACGCCTTAATTTCTAATACATTTCATTAAGTTCTTCAAACAGTTTTCCCCTTTAACACATAATTTCCGAACTTTGTTTTCTGATAACTGAGGATAATTTACCAATCGATAACGTAATTAAGGAGTTTCGAAACTTCATGTTTTCGTGAAAACTTCTCGCTATCGCACCAGTCGTATATATGACTTTATAGAGTGCAATTTCGAACTTAAACACGTTTTCAATAAGGATTTTCGAAAAAAAAAAACTAGTGGCAAAATTCAAGTCATTAAAATATCCAACGGAAGAGCGATACCTGCAAACATTAAACACATAATCACAAGGACTTTGAGATATGAACAAAACTCGGGACAGCGGGTAGGCGCGGAACCCCAGATTACCTATTCCGCGGCTCACATGTTATCCACTGCACCACCAAGATCCTTGCTTTCCCTTTCTTTAGCCAGTTTTTCACCACAACGATGCTATCAGCGACCAGTAATCAACTGGAATGATCTGCAGATCACAAATCGGCACAAGTTTAGGGTGAAGACGCAGTCAAAATTACAAACTTTGACTTTCACTTGCAGCTTATTTTCTTCATAGCAAGGTACTGTGCACCGTGGTACCACGGACATAACTGAGTTCAATTCGGACTTATGTCATCCAGAACATTCCCGTTGACGATTGGTTGTTGATAACACCTCTTCGGTAAAACTAACTGAAAGAAAGGCAAAGTAAGGTCTTGGTGGTGCGGTGGTTAACTCATGAAGCCTGGTAAGGGTAGCCGCGGGTTTGAAACCCTTCTGAAGTTCCAAGTTTTGCTCATATCTCAGCATCCTTGTTTTATTCTACTTAGTCCCCAGCCATGAAGAAAGATAAGCAGTGAATAAAAGTCATGAAATGTAATAGATTTGGAGATGTCATCTTGCCCTGATCGACGAAATCCCGTTTGTTCAACTGCTTTGATGATCGAAATATGAACTTGAAGCAATGAAGTGGAAAAAATGTGTTCCATGGGCACCAAAAGGGGACTTTATCAAATATGTACCGATTGGCTAAAAATGTGTGCACGGGAGAAGAGGAAAGGAAGCAATCGCTAAATTTGGCACGAAAAATAGCCATTTCCAATGGGTAGGAAGCAGCAGCCACTCGGATCAGACGAAAGCGAAGGGTTGTTCCTCAAAATAACTCATCGAACCCAAATAAGATCTCTTTTAAGCCACTCTTCATATCAAACGAAACAAGTTACGCCGTTAAGAGGTGCCTAAGTAAAAGTGTTCTTGAAAATTATGTGGCAACCATTGACATCCCATCCAATACACTTCGACGTCAGCGAGTTCGCAACCGTCTCTCTGATCGTTTGTGCAGCTCAGAAAAATGTATGACCTGTCCTAACGGGAGGGACGGAGATTGCATGAGTTCAGGTACAATATACTTGATCTCGTGTAAGGCATCCGGGGGAAATATATTGGGGAAAGGGAAACGGGTAGACCGCTTTGTGTCTGCTTAAAAGGACACCTAGATGGGAAGGTTAAAATTCCTCAGAGCGATCTTTTAGGTACACATAGGGCACAAAGGCACAATAGCGATGATTTTAAAATGATTTTCCGGATCCTAACACAGGAATCAAAAACATTAGCACGGAAGACTCTCGAGACATTTTGGGTAAATTTCAAAAATCCAAAGATGAACCGGAAAGACGAATGCCTCACTATCACGCGTGACCTGGCGCCCTCTTTCAAAATGATATTTTGACCCCCGAGCGGGTCTTGCTCGTCGTCCCACGTGAACAACACTCGGGCAGTCCCAATCGTGACTGCACGGTGAGTACTTTTTGATCAGTACGGCGTTTATTTCTATGTTAGATCTTCATTAATACTTAGGTTTTTTCACCGAATAGCTAAACTATCCTTGTAAAAATATGTCCAGGCTCTGAAAAACGCGAAATCTCCGAAACGTCAGCCATCGACCAACAACACCAGCAACAACTATAACGACAACGACAGCAACAACAACAACGACAACAAGGCCCTAGACCAACCTCGCATCAGCTCAACAAGATCAGTTTATAAGATTATATAAATAAATATAACAATTATAGCTTTACTCTTCACTAAGAGTTGCCTTTGTACCTCAGAATTTTCCAAGCCCTCTGCAGACTCTGCGTTGAGTAGCGTTCTAGGTTAGCGATTTAAATAATTTCGAGCCTTCACCTTTTTATTCACTGCCTATTTTTTTAACGGCAGGGTATTTTGCGAAATATAACTACTATAATGCTGAGATATGTCTAAAACTCCGGACCGCAGGTGTCTGCAGTGGGAACGAACGCGATATTGTCCTTTCCGGGGAGTAGCGCAATTCACCACCACACCATCCGGGTTCTTCGTTTTGCTTGTCTCTCAGCTAGTTCTATCAATCTCTGCCATCAGCAGTTACCTTGAGACTCGCATGGTGTGCTGGTGAACGCGTTACTCCCTGGAAAGGATAATAGCGCGTTCGTTCCCCACCGCAGACACCTGCGGTCCGGAGTTTTGCAAATATCTCAGCATTATGGTAGTTATATTTCGAGTTCCATTTGTCACTTTATCTTCTAACTTTGAAGCTCTTAGAGTTAAATAACGTAATTGCATTGCTTTAAGAATGTTATTTTCATCTACCCTGAAATTACCGTAAACTTCGTGATGGAAAAAGCATTAAAGGCAAGCATTTAAACAAATAATAAACTTTAAAATAGTATGTTTATCGTAAACCATGGAAAGGCAGTTTTAACTTCCAACTGTGAATACCAATTTTAGGCTTGAAGAAAATCTGAACAGCCAAGATTGCAAGAAGAATCTACTCGATCAGTAGTCTACGACATTCATAATGAAGACAACAATCTATACATTAGAAGTGATGACATGTCATGTAAAATCAAATAAAACGAAGGATCGTCGTGCTCGTGCAAGCTCAATGAATTAAAAACGTGTTGAGTATTTTACTACCCACTTAAATCACTGTCGGTTTGGAAATTAAAACGAAAAATTTTGAAACTGATCGTCATTTAACCTCGGTAGTATAGCGATCAGCATCTGTTTGAACTGCTGTTAAATCGTTAGTTGTTGTCAACTGATGATTGTTGTTAACTTGCTTGTTGTTTGTTAAAACGAAAGATGCTTTCAGTGGTCCGCTCATGTAGCTGGATGTTGTTTTAAAGCTGAGGAAGCCCCTATTTGTTATTCAATGCCAATCATAGACATTATATTCACCCCAAAACCCATCTGTTTTGCAGGCGTTTTTTAATATCCAGAAAATACTTCTCCGTTGTGATGAAGAACTTCTTTCATTCCATCGATTCATACGGCAGCCATCTCTGAGGTTTCCTTTTATTGACAATCCATCTCATTTGGGCTTCTTCTAAAAGTTTGCTGCAGTAGCGCACAGTTTTTTTTGAACTCTCAAACAGTTATACAGTTATCTTCATTTAGCTTTCTCAAGGGGTGATCGTTAATAGTAATAGATCCAGATCGTCCCAATCCTCATCATGCTCACTTTTGCATCTCGAAGCTATGTTTGCTGTCTTGTGATCCGTGTTTCAGGCAAAAATTTTTCGACCTTGCTTTTTTTCATTTCCAATCCAATATATGAATTTTGTTTTAAAAATATTAGATTATGTTATGAACTGTCTTAGTGTTGAGTTTCAATCTGTATTTTTAAACCTTTCTCTTGTCTGATGTTGCCTGTCTGTCTAATGCTCCGCTGTCAGCCCTGATAAACGAAAATACGATCACCGAAACTTCGTGCGGAATTAATAACGGAAACGTTCTACACCAACTTTTCCCATTCCACAATCTCTATACCAAAATTTCTCCTGGAGAAAAACAGCTGGAATTCTTTCCTCAGAGCTTCGAATTGGGAGAGAAAGCATGAAAAGAGGCACAGCTCTAGGACCCAATGGCATCACTGCGACTTCCTTAGAGCTGGAAACCACAATTTACATGTAAACCATAGCTCCATATGAAAAGCATATGGCAGCCTACCTTCAAAAGGAAAAAATCCCAAACCAGTGAAGGACGTCGCGCACGGTCATCCTATCTCAGAAAGGTAACCGAAGGAATCTTCGTAACTATCGACCGACATGCTTGTTGAGGGTCCTCCACATCGCTTCACGACGATTATCCTCTCGCGCATATCAGTGACTAAGACACAACCATTGGAGCAAGCAGAGTTTGAACAAGGATTTCGCTGCATGGTCCACGATCAAACTGTGTTTAGGGCCGTTGAGGTTCACCGGAAATACCACCTGTCCCTAGGCCTAACATTTGTCGACTATAAAAAAACGTTTGACAGTGTCGAAACGAATGCAGTTCTATCAGCTGTCGTCGACCACGGAGTGGACTCGTTCTACAAAAGAACTCTTTATGACCGTTATCAAAACTACACTACGAAAATACAGCTTTTCCTTCGACCTCTTACCATACTCATACGAAAAGGGGTTCATGAAAGTGACGAAATATCGCCAAAGCTGTTCAATGCCGCACTGCAGTGGAAAACAAGGTCACTCGATTGGAATGAGAAAAGCATGCGTATTAGTGGAAATTTCCTACCAGAAATTAAAAGATCGAACTACGCATAAGTCAGAAGAAGACCCAGTTTATGAAAACCCGTGGTGCCAAGACGAACAAATTGAACTGGGAGGCTCTCTGATTACGGGATCCACCTCCCTCATACGTGTACCTTGGGCGATCAATGAAGATGGGAAGCAAAATGAACAAGTACCACATTCGAGCCTGTCAAATAGTCCACTGACGAACTGTTGGACCCGAAAATCTGAGCTTACCTTTTCGATTCAGAGGTTCTCCTAGCGCTGTTATATGCTGCAGAGAAGTGTGCTGGTCCTTCAATCGCGTCAAGAATACTCCGCACTACACACAGAGCGCTTGCGATGTTTTCTGAAATATAACCGGCACTCTTAATATCTAGCCGTAATGCGAAGCTCTGATCTTCGAAATCTGTTCGTGGGTGAGTATACATCAATAGCGACACACAGATTTGCCGATCAGATAATGAGAAGAACGAACGACAGATGGACGAAAAGAACTGTAGAGCGGACTCCACGAGAAAGCAGATGTCCCCTAGGACGGGCATCTACGCGTGGTGCGGAAAGCTTAACCAAAGTTAATCTGCTATGCTCGCAGCTACATTTATTTCACAAATCACGGTATGAGTCTTGCACGCTCTACCATTATCGAATAAATCCACTACCATGGATGACGATTGCAAGAGAAAGAAATGAATTGTAAATGTGCTTGGATCCGCACAATTGGTCAAGACGAACAGCCCAAATATTCAAGTAAGTAGGTGCTTTTAAGCTAGCATTTTAGTCCAGAATTAACCGTATTTTTTGAAATAAAAACCATTAAATTCAGCAAATGCTTAAAAATGAGAAGCAAGTTTAATCGTACCATCTGCATAAAATTCTGGAACACTGGAAGCGATGAAGTGGTTGAAAGCAGTTTCAGCGTCGACTTAGTTCTGAAGCATCCCTCGCATACACAGTCATTGAGATGATAGAATAAGTGGTAGCCTGTAGCAGAGAGATCTCTTAGCATGTCGATGAAAAACGGTTTTGTAGTACAGTTCGTTTAACTTTTACAGCGTTGGTAGTGCGAAATACGGCCGCGCGTTAAAGTGGAAAAGGATCGGCCTCTTCTTCTTTACATTTGCAAGAAACGGCTGCAGAGATTTCCGTTGCATATCGTCGACTTTCTGGACGTACTTTTGCACTTGTAATCATTTCATTAGGACTCAAAAATCTGAGATCGACCGACTGAACCAACTGTAGACAACCAAGCGACCATCACCACCCTCAACTAGTGCATTTGTACTCTGGAAAGTGCTATGAAACTTTCTATCGATCAAATCACGGAGCCGATCAACGTTGGTTTCCACATAGGGTCCATCACACCTCATCGCATATTACAACATTTTTGAAAAAAGAATCGCTATGGATGCGTAAAAGAAGAGAAGACGATACTTGAAAACGGGAGCTTCTTTCGTTGACGTTCAATTCTTGCGGCATCTATTCGTAGGGTTTCCTCAACTTTATAAATATCTTTAGATGCTCAGGAACAATTGCTAATTCCGAGTTCTGCAAGTTCTCGAATGGTTGAGTGTGCACTTCCTTCCACTATTACCTTCAATTCATCACTGCTAAAAGCAAAAAGCCTTCCGCGACCATCCCTATCTTCAAAGTCAAATTTGTCATGCCGAAATTTTCCAAACAAACGTCGCACCGTGCATGCGTTAACATTTCTTTGGCCCTAAACTTAATTAACGTTTCGTGCTTTTGGCGATGCATTACGTCTGAGTTTGAATTCATAGAAGGATGATTGTCGAAATCGCGCTCTTTCGACTCATGAAATTCTACTCTTAGAATTTGTCAAACAAACAATTTATACCATATTTCAATTAAACGGAGCAAAGGCACATAAAAAGGGCCTTGCACTGATAAACACACCGCATTCGAACTGAACCATTGCTAAAGTTTATACAAGGAAAACGAAGTTGCAAACCCAAGTGACCGACCTTTGCTTCTCTGAGCCGCAAATGGATATAGGGGATGGACTCACTGTTTTTGCTGCGCCTCCTTGGTACATGTCTTCTCTGTTTACGAAAAAGTATTCATGCATGCGTGCATGGGTGTGTTCTCGTTTATTCTATAAGTCGACTCGGCCGAAAGCCTGCAATAAAGTGACAGGCTATATATGGGAGGCGGTTAGAAATCACCTCCAACAAATAAGCGCTCTCGGTCTACTCTGAAGAAGACTGGCAAACTACCGGGTGGGTACAACCACCCTCCACGTTCATACCTCAGCAAGCTATAGGTGAGCACCAAAAGTTAAATAAAATAAACTAAACGGCCCATATTTCTCCGACTTTGAAAGGCTACTAATTTGGCAGGTTGGGTAGGACGAGTACGGAAAGCCTACTAAAATTTACGCACCATTCTAGGTTGCCTAAACAGCAAGGCGCTAAATTGACGATCTGTACTTACAATGCACACACAGCTGCATGAGTCACTGGTAGAAAAGTTGACCATGTAGACAATAAGGATGAGAGAGAACGTCGCTGGACTGGCTGAAACGAGAAGACGCCACCCCTTCAATGCCGTCTATGGAGCAGGAGGAGAACTGTTCCTCAGAGCATGCGGCAGTAGAGGAGTCGGCGGTGTCAATATTCTCGTCAACACGAGTTTAGCCATAAACATCAATTCATTCGAACAACTAACAACCCGAATGGGACGCTTACGTTTGAAGAGGTGTGGATCAATATCGGCTTTGGCAACGTTCGTCGTCTTCGCATGACATTGCGCTTTGACGAAAACGAAATCGAAGCGCTTTGCATGGAATTGAAGAAGTTTCACAAAGAAGGCCATGCATTCTTTAAGGTTATCATTGAAGATTTTAACTCTATGATTTGGACGCAAAAGAACGTCTGAAGAACGTCACATTGGGACCTATGCATTAGAATGGAACGAACAGGATGAGCAGACGTCTGAGTTTATCACGACGACCAAGACCTTTATGGTACTTCGCAGTTCCAAGAGCCATATTCTCATCGCTGGACCTGGAAGTCTCCCAATGGGGACTACCCATTGGGGAATAACCAAATATATCACATAATAGTAAAACGAAGGTTTTTCCTGACCAATATGGCTGATAACCCAAAATTCTACACGGTATCAGATCATCGCGTCCTCCGTGTAAGGTTCCATTTCTCTCAAAAACGAGAAAAGCATACAAGTGCAAAAAAGATGTCCCAAATCTCCCATAAACAATGACTTATTCAGTTTATTGCTGGAGTGTTGAGAAGATGCCGTCCTTTATAATAAGGACGACGATCGGCCCATTCAGAATCTACATGTTAGCGTTATTAAAACTGAAAATTCGCAAGCCACCAAGGGACGTTTTTCTCCAGAAACACGACCTGATACGCTAGCACGGAATTGCTCGAGCTAGAGACATCCACGAACTCATGTCTGACCATTTCAAACAATGTAGACAGTCCATAAAAACATATTTTAAAAACAGAAGTGTAACAATTGCAGTCGAAGTTGCAGAGGCTGAGAAAAGCATTCGTAAAGCCCAACGAAGCTTTACTAATTGTAAAACCAAGATGATTGCACTCCGACGGCCAGACGGAACAGTCACAGCGCCCAAAAAAGCAATGGAGAAAATCGTTCACGATACTCTCTTCAACAGCCACGTCCTCCTTCTCTCATATGAAATAAAGGAGGATGGATATGTTCCACCACCAGTTCTTTCTTCCAAAATCCGACATCTTCCATATCATCGGTGAAAAATCACGCCATTGAGAACATCACGCAAGCATGGGAGTGGGGATCACATGGGAGTGAAAAGTATTGCCTGGTAATCACACCATTTTCGCTTTTTTAATGATATCGGTATTATAACACCAAACATTAGCCAGGAGAAACGAATGCCTGCCGCATTTAATAACACCTATAAAAAGAATGGTTGTCGACTTAATCTCACAATGGCTTCGTATAGGCTCACTGGAACGAGTGTCTCATAATGCTCCAGCTATGTCAATGTAGGTCGAGAAATCAACATAATGAACGACTCAGTTCCAGAGTTGAGTAGGAGGAATCTAGTGGCTTTGAGGTCTATTAAGGGCATTGATGATGTAGTAAGGAAAACAGAGAATATCCGAGACCGCAGCCATCTTTTTGGCTCCACGATTCTTTCTGCCCAAACATATGCGTCAGGTACCTGGTCGCTACATTAGAAGGATAAAAGGTCACCCAGCGTTAGTGAACGCTTAGTCGAAATGACGATGCTATGAGTATCCTTTGCCATGCAAATGAGGAAAGAGATCCGAAGCTCCGACCAACGTTAACGATCAGTGATCAAAGACGCCGTTCTATATTGCAAACCGTCGAAGATATGGTGAGGTAGACATTCAATGCGTGTGAACGGCAACCGATGGACAAGAGCCCTTAGTGATCGGATTCCTCAGCATGTGAAACGTATTCCAGAAAGACCACCGACGCGATGGTCAAAGTTCCTCACAAAAACCGTAGAGGAAAGATATAATGCTCAATGAGACCGTAGAACGAGCAAGACCCTCTGGGCTACACTTGTATGCGACAGCCCAAAGAAGGGAAAATTTACTGATACTATCTCGAGTCACTCGAGAAACAGCACGACAATAGGTGATACACTGATACAGACATTTCATGAGGGGATATTTCCTGCACGGACATCGAGGGTTCAGTCTTTTAATTGGCGTTTGCTGGTTCTTCCGCTTTTTTGTTCTTCACAGAGCTACCATATGGAATTTAATTTGGTCATCGAACTCAAAAAAACTGCGAAAACTCTGGGAAAGCTCTTCTATCACTATGGGTGTAGAGCAAGAAGCAGGCCTGTCTGAGGCGTGCTTGTTTGATCCGGTTCCAATAACACTCAGTGTAACAGGCCACTAAATGCTTGTTTATCCGTCTGACATTTAGGCTGGCGAGCTCAGTGTGTTTGGTGGTCAGGCTCGTCTATTGCTGATTAGGCCATTTGGATTTTCCCTGGAGTTCTGACATAGTCGTCCTAAGGCGTACTC